GGTGGGGCGGTGCGGTGTGCGTCAGCTCGCGGCGGCTGCAGGGCGGGTGGCAGCAAGCCGGCTGGCAGCTGGACTGCGGGCAGCACGAGGCGTGCAGGCGCTGGTCAGACGGACTGGCAGGGGCTGCACACGCAGCTCACGGGGCTGCAGACCAGGCTCAGGCAGGCAGCCGGGGCGCAGCGCTGGGGCACAGCAGGGGGCTCGCAGCAGCTCTCTGGGCAGTCGTCCCCCTGCCAGGAGTCGGGGCAGGAGTCGCAGGAGCCGGGCAGGCAGACGCGGCTGCCGTAGCTCAGGTCGCTGGAGCAGACGGACACGGCGGACGCAGCCATGCTGGGGCTGAGCTGGGAGGGTTGAGTGGGTGAGTGTGGGGTGAGTGAGTGAGTGGGTGGGTGAGTGGGTGTGTAAGTGAATGCTCCGGGCTGTGGCTTTTATACCCCCTCCGGGCACGTGCTTGGCAGTGGCAGGCTCAGCCCTGCCCTGCCCGCCTTGCTGGTGCGCGGAGCCAGCGCCTGGAGAGTAAACAGTGGCCGCGTTTCCGTTTCCCGGACTCCTGCTCGGCTCACGAGACTCTTGCAATTGGCTTGGGGGTGCGTTTGCTGGTTTCCGTCTCAGAAGGAAAAGCAGAGGCGGAACACGGGTCACGCCGCCTCCCTCGCTGGGCGCAGCGGGAGGGCCGGGAGCACGTGTGTGGCTGTGCTGGGCAGTGGTCAGCGCGGCCTGCAGACCGCACGGCCGGCCCCCGCGTCCTCAGGCTGCTGGACAAGCCCTCGGGCTCCGTCACCGTCATCGTCACCATAGCTCGGTGGTCCCCAGCCTTAGCCACTCGCGCTGGCACGGCCCTCGCCACTGAAAGGCAGACCGGTCACACGTGTCCACCGACCTGCACGCGTGTCCCCTGCTCGGACCCCACTTTGCACGTGCTGGGGGCTCCCTGGTCTCTCGCGTGTGGCGGCTGCACTGGCTGTCCTCGTCCTCTGTGACTGTGCGGCTCACGGAGGGTGCCGGCGGGGGTTTGCAGAGCGCCCCTCACGCGGGCTTGCTCGGCGTCTGCCGTGCCCAGTGGTCCCACGGATGGCCCTGCTGTGTGTTGTCGCGGGAGATGCTGCTGCTCCTCCCTCTGCTGCCAATAAACGTTTGGGGGCGATCCCTTGAGACTTTGCCAATGTCCTGCTTCTGCGCGGCTTTGCAGGAGAGCCTGAGCGCCGTTTGGGGGTCTGGGCCGCTGCGCCCACCCTGGGTTCACCCACATTTGCTAACGAGAATCCCCTGTACGGAAGAGCCGTCCCTTCTGCTCCGCTAGGTGTCTGCTCCTTTAGTTATTTATTTCGGCATGGACTAGAGGATATTCATTTTATTATTTGAGTCATAATCCAATATTGTCATTGTTTATTTTGTGGTTCCAACGCTCCACCGGGAACTCTCTCATTTCAGTGCCCGTGCCCTGCCACGTGCCGCCCCTCCCTGCCTCGCCCTACCTCCTGCCCCGGGCTCCTCTCTGTCTTCCCGGCTCCACCCCTGGGGTCAGCTGCTCTGCACAGGGCCGGCCATCAGCGCTCGCCGCCGTCGAGAAACCCAGGCCCCGAGCCCGGCCCCGCTTCTCCCAGGCCCCCGGGCGCAGGCGAGGGGTGTTCGTAAGTGCTGCTTCGCCTGGCCGCAGCCGGAGAACCGCCGCGCTGGCCCTAGTGTTCCAGGGCAGCGTTATCTGGTTTAAAATCGCCCCTTCTGTGGCCGAGAGATCCTGTCGCGCATGGATGTTGGGATTTTGCGAAATGCTTTCACGCAACCATTGAGATGATCACATAGCTTTCTTTTTCAGTCTGTTACGGCGGTGAATTACAGTGATTGATTTCTAAAACTTTTTATTTTGAAGCAATTATGGATCCACAGGAAACTCTAAAGACAGTACAGAGAGGTCCTGTGTACCGCCCAAAGACAGAATCACAACCAGTCAAGCAAGAAATTAATTGGCCAATTAAAAATATATATATATATATAAAAAGAGCCAGGCATGGTGGCGCATGCCTTTAGTCCCACCTACTCGGGAGGCTGAGGCAGGAGGATCGCTGGAGCCTAGGAGTTTGAGGTTGCCGTGAGCTAGGCTGACACCACAGCACTCTAGCCTGGGCAACAGAGTGAGACTCTGTCTCAAAAAAACAAAAGTCCAGTCGCGGGGTGACAAGCTCACGCCGGGCAGCCGCCATGGGCAGCTGTCCCTGAGAGAGCATTCTCTCCGCAAGTCGCCGTGGCCTCTGTGCCGGGCTGCGGCTTTTGCAGAGTCTTCTCTGTGGGGCTCCGGACGGACGAGCCCGGGAGCCCCGCGTGGCCTCCCCCAGCTGCCACTCCTGTGCAGCGCCAGCGAGTCCGGCGCCCACCACCGGGACCCGGGAAGACTGGTCTCTCAGCGGCAAACCCGCCTCAGAGCCCCGGACACCCCTGCGGTGGCTGGACCCGCGTGCCGGGGCTTGACCAAGGATTGTCGCGTCTGTCCTTGAGTGCCGCCCGTTGGTCGCAGCGATGGCGCCGTCTCCGCCTGGGTCGGAGCACGCCGCCCCAGCGTGCCCTCTGCTGCTTCCTGGGAGAGATTACTCGGAACCGGCGTTTTTCCCTTCCTTAAATGATGGCTGGAATTTTCCAAGAAACCGGAGTTTTCTTTGCTGGGATAAGGTTTTCTTTTACAGATCAAGGACTTCCCGCCTTTCCGTTTCTTCTCTACCGAGTTCTGGTGTTTGCGCCTGTTAGGGGATCGGTCTGTCTCATCTAAGGCAGGCGTCCTCAAACTACGGCCCGCGGGGCACCTGCGGCCCGCCGAGGACATTTATCCAGCCCGCCGGGTGATTTTGCCGCCGCTGCCTGTCCTGCTTAGCGGCCGACTCGTCCCGGGCCCGCAGTGCGCATGTGTGGAATGTGCCCGCACTCTCCAACCGTCTGAGGGACAGTGAACTGGCCCCCTGTTTAAAAAGTTTGGGGACCCCTGATCTAAGGTTTAGGGCATGCAGGCCCAGTGTTGTTGGCAGAATTCCCTCGTTACCCTTTTAAGTTTCTGAGAATTGTCTAGTGATGTCCCCTTTTCGCCCTGGACATCGGTGCCTGCTTTCTCCACCCCTTTCTCCGTGCTCAGCCTGGCTGGAGCTCGTCAGTCTGTCTTCTCCGAGAGCCGCCTCCGCCCGCTTCCTTCCGCTCACCCGTGTCCTGACTCCCGCCCTCGCGAGCCCTTCCTCCCGCGTGCCGTGGCTCCGCCCGCTCCCCGACTCGGTTCCTGGGGCGGAGGGTCGGGTACTGGACCGATGCCCTTCGCTGTCCCGTGCCACTGGGCGGGCCTCCCTCTGCCTCAGCCGCACCCACAGGTCCTCGCCACCCGCCAGCCCGCCCATGCCTGGGGCCGGGCGTGCCATCTCCACTGCCCTCCCGGGAGAGGCTGCGCTGTGTAATTCCCAGTTTCCGAGCCCACGGGCACAGGCGATGGAGTCCAGAGGACTCGCACGCACGCAACCTGGGAGGGCGGGCCGGCCTCGGAGGCCCCGCTGTGGGCCCGCAGCTGTGCCGGGGACTCATGTGCGTTCAGGTTTCCA